AAAAAAAAAAAAAAAAAAAAGAAACCAAGTTGGTGAGTATCGAAGCTGCAGTGAGCCATGATTGCACCACTGCACTCTGCCACCTACCCTTCGACTTCTGGTTACTCATGATCTCATCTCTGAAGAAGGATCAGTGGGTGGGAAGAAGGGACTGGTGTATTAGTGTCCTATGGCTGAAACAGCAAATTACCAAAGACTTACTACTTAGAACAACAGAAATTTATTCTCGCATAGTTCTGTAGGCCAGAAGTCCAAAATCAAGGTGTCGCCAGGGCCACGCTCCTTCCAGAGGCTCTGAGAGAAAATCAGTTCTTTGCATCTTCCAGCTCCTGGTGACTCCAGGAGTTCCTCGGCTTGTAGCTGCAGAACTCCAATCTCTGTGTCTACCATCACATGGTGCTCTCCTCTTCTGTCTTCTCCTCTGTGTGTTTCTTAGGACACTTGTCAGCCGGGCGTGGTGGCTCATGCCTGTAATCCCAGAACTTTGGGAAGCCGAAGTGGGTGGATCACGAGGTCAGGAGTTCAAGACCAGCCTGGCCAAGATGGTGAAACCCCACCTCTACTAAAAATACAAAAATTAGCTGGGTGTGCACTCCCAGCTACTCGGGAGACTGAGGCAGAGAACTGCTTGAACCTGGGACACGGAGGTTGCAGTGAGCTGAGACCACGCCACAGCACTCCAGCCTGGGTGACAGACTTTGTTCAAGCTCTGAATATAGATCAGGCTACTCAGTGTATGAGATGGAATTGTCTAAAGCCTAAAAAAAAAAAAAAAAAAAAAAAAAAAAGGACACTTGTCATCAGATTTAGGGGCCACACAGATAATTCAGGATCTTGCGATCCTGAATGTAATTACACCCGCAAACCCCCTTTTTTCCAAATAAGGTCACCACAGGTTCTGAGGATTAGGACGTAGACTATCCTTTTGGAGAACGCCACGCAACCCACTACAATCAGCTATAATTATTTTTGTAGAAAACAATGGGAACCTGACTTAGGATGGTGGCCTTGGAGAGAAGTGGGTGGGTTTGCAATGTACTTCAGTGGTAGAGCAGAGGCGTTGGTGGTGGTTAGAAACAGAAGCTGAGGGGCTGGGCGCGGTGGCTCACACCTGTAATGTCAGCACTTTGGGAGGCCAAGGCAGATGGATCACTTGAGATCAGGAGTTCAAGACCAGCCTGGCCAACATGGCGAAACCCTGTCTCTACTAAAAACACAAAAATTAGTCAGGTGTGGTGGTGCACGCCTGTAATCTCAGCTACTCGGGAGGCTGAGACGAAGAATCGCTTGAACCCGGGAGGCGGAGGTTGCAGTGAGCCACGATTGCACCACTGCACTCCAGCCTGGGCAACAGAGTAAGACTCCATCTCAAAACAAACAACAAAAAAACCCGGGTGTGGTGGCTCATGGCTGTAATCCCAGCACTTGGGGAGGCCGAGGTAAGCAGATCACTTGAGGTCAGGAGTTCGAGGTCAGCCTCGGGAGCCTGAGGCAGAAGAATCGCTTGAACCCAGGAGGTGGAGGTTGCAGTAAGCCAAGATCACACCACTGCACTCCAGCCTGGGCAACAGAGTAAGACTCCATCTCAAAACAAACAACAAAAAAACCCGGGTGTGGTGGCTCATGGCTGTAATCCCAGCACTTGGGGAGGCCGAGGTAAGCAGATCACTTGAGGTCAGGAGTTCGAGGTCAGCCTCGGGAGCCTGAGGCAGAAGAATCACTTGAACCCAGGAGGAGGAGGTTGCAGTGAGCCGACTGCACCACTGTACTCCAGCCTTGGTGAAGAGCAAGACTCTGTCTCAATGACAACCGAAAAAATAAAATCTGAGGGATGAGTGGGGTGGTGACTCAGTGTTTGGATACAGAACTGTGTGGCTCAGGTCTGGGTTTCAAAAAGACCCCTCTGGGGCTCTGTGGGGGACAGACTGGAGGGAGAGACTAGAAGCCAGGGAGAAGCCTAGAGTCAGGGTCCAGGTAGGAGAGCAGGAGCCCGGAGCCTACCTGAGCCCTCAAGACAGAGAAGAGGGGTGGAGTGGAGACTCAGGAGGCAGGAGGGGTCTGGCTTAGAGACTGATGCACTGCTGGGGGAGAGGGGACAAGATGGGGCTTTGACCCCATGACTAGACAGATGGTGGGGCTGCCTCAGATGAGGAAACCAGGTGAGAGAATTTGGGGACATCAGGGGAAACTGCAGAGGCCACTGGGTGTGCACTGCAACCAGGCACTACAGACCCAGATCTGACTGTCAGGATCCCAGGCTCAGTGCCTCCTCCTCTGGGGCCTCTGCTCCTCGGGCCCCACTGCAGAGGCAGGAAGTACCGCCTGATGCTCAGCTTCCGCTGGGGGTGTTGGCACGGCCCAGCGCCCTCTCCACTCCCAGGGACCTTCCCACCTCGAGCCTGTAGCACTTTCACTTCCCCAGGTACCCAGCCCCTGCCCCCAGCACCTGGGTGCTCCCTGGTCCAGAACAGGCTGCAGACTCTGAGAGGTGCAAAGACAAGTAGGGAAGGGGGAGACAGAGAAAGGAAGACAGGCTGGGCACAGTGGCTCACGCCCATAATCCCAGAACTTTAGGAGGCCAAGGCAGGAGGATCACTTGAGCCCAGAAATTTGAGACCAGCCTGGCAACACAAGTGAGACTCCCATCTCTACAAAAAATGATGAAAATTAGCCAGGCATGGTGGTGTGCACCTGTAGTCCCAGCCACTCGGGAGGCTGAGGTGCAAGGATTGCTTGAGCCTGGGAAGATCGGGGCTGCAGTGAGCTATGATTGCACTACTGCATTCCAGCCTGGGTAACTGTCTCAAAAACAAAAACAAAAGAGAGATGAAGAGAGAAAGGAGGAAGGGACCCAAAGAAGGGACCAGAAACACAGAGAAAGGCCAGGCACAGTGGCTCACGCCTGTAATCCCAGCACTTTGGGAGGCCAAGGCAGGAGGATCACTTGAGTCCAGGAGTTCCAGACCAGCCTGGGCAACCTAGTGAGACCCCGTCTCTGTTTTTTCAAATTAAATATAAAAAATAAAACACTCCCATTCCATAGCAAGACCCCATTTCTACAAAAAATACAAAAATGAGCCAGGCGTGGTAGTGTACACCTGTAATCCCAGCTACTCGGAAGGCTCAGGTGGGAGGACTGCTTGAGCCCAGGCTACAGTGAGTTATTTGCCCCACTGTAGTCCAGCCTGGGTCAAAAATGAGACCCTGTCTCAAAAAGAAACAAATATATAAATAAAATAAAGAAACACAGAGAGAAGGAGAATAGAGACCCCAGGGGGCAGGAGGAGAGAGACCCAGAGGAGGCAGAGACTTGGCTGAGAGAAGGGGACAGAGATGGGGAGTGGCAGGAAGGTGGGGACAAAGACCCAGAGAGGAGGAACAAGAGACCCAGGGCGGGGAAGGGGAGACACAGCTGGATGCAGAGATGGGAGAGCTTAGCAGGCCATGAGGTCAGAGTGTCTGTGAGGTCAGCTGCTGTCCAGGGTCAGCCCTGGGGTCCCCATGCCCAGAGGTGGGTCCAGTAGATCAGGTGTCCCTTTAGATGCCCCAGCGCCTGAGACATGGAGACCTGGGAGGGACTGCCCCGTGAGTCCTTGGTGCTCACAAATGCCAAGGCCCCTCAGGTACCAGAGCGTGTGTCCCAGTGGGGCAGATGAGGGAGACAGGGACAGAGAGAGAGCCAGAAAGCCACCTCGCATGAAGCAGGAGGGGGTGGAGCCCCACCCCTGGAACTTCCTCTTTCGGGGTTCTTCCTTTCTGTCTCAGCTCTCCGTCTCTCTCTCTTTCTCTCTCAGCCTCTGTCTTTCTCCCTGTCTCCCCTACTGTCAGCACCTCTTCTGTGTGGTGAGTGGACCGCTCACCCCTCTAGGTGAAGATGTCGGCCCAGGAGAGCTGCCTCAGCCTCATCAAATACTTCCTCTTCGTTTTCAACCTCTTCTTCTTCGTGAGTTGCCTCATGGCTCCCCAGCCCGGGCCCAGCCCCTGCCGCTAACCCTGCCCTCATCTTTCCCCGTGGCCCACCGCCGTATCTGCCTCTCCTCAGGTCCTGGGCAGCCTGATCTTCTGCTTCGGCATCTGGATCCTCATCGACAAGACCAGCTTCGTGTCCTTTGTGGGTGAGGGGGGCTGGGGCAGGTGGGAGGGCCTCCCCCAACCCAAGTGACTTCCTGTGGTCTCCCTTGTCTCAGGGAGATCCATGGTGCCCTACTCTGCAGGCAGGTCACAGGCTCCCATCCACTGCTCACCGTTGCTTCGCTTCTCGGAGCCTGCGTCTTCTTCCGGCAAATGGGGTTGTGCATACAAACAATGACCATGAGAGCCATTTCTCAAGCACTTCCTATCTGTCGGGACTTGTGGCTGGTCAGATGCCCCCACAAACCTTCCCCTCTCTTGAGGTTCAGAGAGGGGAAGTCCCTTGACGGATGTCATATAGCAAGGAAGTAAAATAGCCAAAATAACATTAATAATGATGGAAAAAAAAAAAAGAAGTATGACCCTAAATAATAATGAAATATGACCCTAAATATTCATATTTAAGAAGTCTTTGCCCTGCGTTGAGGACTGGGTTGAACACATGTTCCCGTGTGTCCCTCAAAATGACCCTAGGGGCCATATGTAGTGGCTCACGCCTGTAATTCCAGCACTTTGGGAGGCCGAGGGAGAGGATCACTTGAGGTCAGGAGCTCGAGAATAGCCTGGCCAACATGGTGAAACCCTGTCTCTACTAAAAAATACAAAACATTAGCCAGGCACGGTGGCACGTGCCTGTAGTCCCAGCTACTAGAGAGGCTGAGGCAGGAGAATCACTTGAACCTGGGAGGCGGAGGTTGCTGTGAGTCGAGATCACATCACTGCACTCCAGCCTAGGCGACAGAGCGAGACTCCGTTTCAAAAAAAAAAAAAACCACACACACAATAAAGAAACAAAAAAACCTCTGAGAAACAGATACCGTCCCCTAGGCCTCAGGGAGGTTTAAAGAGCCAAGCCAATGTCACAGAACAAGTGATAGGGCTGAAACTACTGGGGATGAGGAGGAGCTGAAGGAGGAAGGAGAGGGTGAGAGGAAGAGAGAGATCCAAGGATAGGAAAGAGAGGCCCAGAAAGAAGACAAAGTTTCAGAAGGAGACAGGGACTCAGGGTGGGGCAGGGACAGAGTCCCAGAGAGGGCACCAGGATACTGCTCCCCACTTGGGCGGCTGCCTAGGCGGGAAATGGGGCTGCCTGGAGTTGTGCCACCCGGCTTATCATTGCTCCCCTCACCTCTCCCAGGCTTGGCCTTCGTGCCCCTGCAGATCTGGTCCAAAGTCCTGGCCATCTCTGGAGTCTTCACCATGGGCCTCGCCCTCCTGGGTTGTGTGGGGGCCCTCAAGGAGCTCCGCTGCCTCCTGGGCCTGGTGAGTGCCTCATCCCTCTCCATCCCTAGGAACACTCCTATCCCCACCCTCAAAAATGGCCTGGGCCGAGGCTGCGAGGGTGGTCAGCCTGATCTCTCCACTCTGCTCCCCAGTATTTTGGGATGCTGCTGCTCCTGTTTGCCACGCAGATAACCCTGGGAATCCTCATCTCCACTCAGCGGGCCCAGGTAAGCTTCCTGCAGTGGCCACCACCCACCCCCAGCAGAGAGGAGGGGGAAGAGAGTGGTGGGAGGGGGTGGAAAGAGACGGAGAAACAAAGGCAGACAGGGACTGACCTAGATAAAGAGAAATAAGAGGCTGGGCCTGGTGGCTCACGCCTGTAATCCCATAATCCCAGCACTTTGGGAGGCTGAGGTTGGAGGATTGAGTCCAGGAGTTTGAGACCAGCCTGGGCAACATAGTGAGACCCCATCTATATTAAAAAATATATCCGGGTGTGAGGGCACGCACCAGGGGTCCCAGCTACTTGGGAGGTTGAGATGGGAGGATCACTTGAGCCAAGGAGTTTGAGGCTACAGTGAGCCATGCACTCATCCTGGGTGACAGAGTGAGACCCTGTCTCAAAAAATAAATTAATAGAAAGACACACCGATCCGGACCAACAGAGAGAGGGATAAACAGCTCCAAAGGGAAACACACAGGAAAAAGAACAAGAGAAAGAAAAAGATGCCCTGAAAGAAGAGACAGACTTAATGATCCGTAGAAATAGTGGGAGTAACAGAGTGACAGACCTGAAGTACACAGAGCTAGCCATTCAGTGAGGATCTGAGACTGACCCAGAGATGCACAGGGACCGTCTGAGGCTGGCACAGCCTGAGAGGAGGTGGGATGGGGCGGGGCACGTGAGGTCCAGCCTCACTGATGGCCTCTCAGCTGCAGCGAAGCTTGCAGGACATCGTAGAGAAAACCATCCAAAAGTACCGCACCAACCCTGAGGAGACCGCGGCCGAGGAGAGCTGGGACTATGTGCAGTTCCAGGTGAGCCCTCTCCTCCAGCTCCCTCCCCGACTGACCCACCTCAGCCCTGTGCTTCGAGGAGACTCCACCCCAACGTGGCCCCGACCACCAGCTCTACGACCCGAATGTACCCCAACCCCTCCCAGGCCCAACGCCCCCCACTCCCCAGATGACACAACTGGCCCCGGCATGGCCCAGTCTCCCAGTACCCAGACCCTGGCATGGCTTCGCCATCTACCTTGGGAGACTCCGCCCCCGCCCCGCCCCCGCCCCGACCGGAGGTAGTAAGGCCCCTAGTCCCAAGACCCTAGCGAGACACGGCTTCCTACCCCGCAGTGAGTCTGGCTTCCATCGGACCCCGCCCCCGATGAGACTCACAGGGTCTCGCACTCCTATTCACCTGTCGGGTATCAGAGGCTCAATCGCACCGCCCACCAATCTCTGGTCCAGAGCGAGACGCTGCAGCTACTTCCCCAGCCCCAGATCACCCCGTGACCCGTCTCTCCCAGCCCCATTTCCCGTAATGTCCCCTGGCCCCGGCCCCATAGCGACACCAGCCCACGGGCCCCCACTCCACACCCACCACTTAGTCCCCTGCTTCCCGACCTGACCTCATACCCATCACCTTGTCCCCTGATCCCCAACATCATATGTCTCCAGTCTCGGTCCCTCTGACCCGTATCCCTCTCCCAGCTGCGCTGTTGCGGCTGGCACTCCCCGCAGGACTGGTTCCAGGTCCTCACCCTGAGAGGTAACGGGTCGGAGGCGCACCGCGTGCCCTGCTCCTGCTACAACTTGTCAGCGACCAACGACTCCACAATCCTGGATAAGGTGATCTTGCCCCAGCTCAGCAGGCTTGGACAGCTGGCGCGGTCCAGACACAGTACAGACATCTGCGCGGTCCCTGCAAACAGCCACATCTACCGCGAGGTGGGCAGGGGTTCGGAGCATAAACCTGTCGAATAGGGCGGGGCCTGCGGGAGGCGCAGGGCTGCCGGTGAGGGGCGGGGCCTGAGAAAGGGGCGGGGCTACAAGAAAAGAAAGGTGCGGTAGGCGGGGCGGGGCCCTCTGAAGGGGGCGGGGTCCGTAGGAAGGGCAGGACCTAAAGAAAAGGCGGGGCTGGCTCTGGAATACAGACATCTAGGGAAGGGCCAGGCTTGGAAAAGGTGAAGCGAAGGTGCACTAGTAAGGAGACGAGAGAGGCCTGGTGACTATGGGAGCGGGTAGATGCCTGAAGGCGGTGAGAGTCAGGCTGAAAAGAACGCTGGCCCTGGGCTTGAGAGTCCCAGAAAGAATCCCTTTAACTTTTCCCTACACCCGCAGGGCTGCGCGCGGAGCCTCCAGAACTGGCTGCACAACAACCTTATTTCCATAGTGGGCATTTGCCTGGGTGTCGGCCTACTCGAGGTGATCTGGCCCCGCCCCCACTCGCGATCTGCCGGGATTTACCCTAGATGGCCCTGCCCTTCATTTCGCGTCCTCCGGTTGCCTGGGAAGGACGCGCTCGGGGCGGAGCGCAGCCCACCCCAGCCCTCCCGCGGCTCCACCCAGCACCAGGGGTGGGGGCGGCCTAGCTTCAGGGAGCCCTGATTGGCTGCACGCAGGGAAAACCTCCTGCTATTGGCTGCGATCTCCCTCCCCTTTCCCCGCAGATGACTGTTATGATGCTGAGCGTGCAGCTACAGCGCAGGGCACTCCGCCGGAAATGCGAGCCGCACTTGCCGGGCGCTCGGGGTTCGAGCCCCGGGCCCAGTCTGATCGCTGACGGCGGCGGCGGGCGCAGCGGCAGTCTGTGGGGTGGTTGGGGCATGGCGGGTGCCTGCCCCAACTGGGGGGACAAGGCCCCGCAGGGCAAGCTGCCCATGGCCCTGGGACTCTGGCCGCTGTGGGTTCAAGACGAGGACCAGCCTGATACTGGGAGTGCAGGCGCAGAATTAGAGGCCGAGGCAGAATTAGAGGCCGAGGCAGAGGGGGAGAGAGATGAGCCTCCAGAATAAACGACCCTGGGCTTGCTTCCGACCTTACTCCTTCTCAGCCTCTACCCCGACCCCGCCTCCCCACCTATAGCAGCGGCGCTTCCCCTACCCCCACTTGTTGCAGCTGTTCCCGCCTCATCAGCCAGTCCTGCGGCAGTTTCCTTCGAGCCCCGCCCATTTCTACCTATCCCGTTCTCCAGCCCCGTCCCGCCTAATTCACGGCCCCACCCCTGACCTTTCTCGCCCGGGTGGGCATCACCCCCGTCTCGCCAGCACCCCTTCGACTTCTCTAACCTCATCTCCTTTCTCTATAGCTCGGGTTCATGACGCTCTCGATATTCCTGTGCAGAAACCTGGACCACGTCTACAACCGGCTCGCTCGATACCGCTAGGCCCCGCCCCCGTCACGTGCGCTGGGCACTTCCCTGCTGCCTGTAAATATTTGTTTAATCCCCAGTTCGCCTAGAGCCCTCTGCCTTCACATTCCCCTGGGGACCCAGGTGGCTGCCTGCCACCGCTGCTGTCACCTCTCCCACGGGACGTGGGGCTTTCGTCCTCAGTTTCCTGCCCCCATCTGTCGGCCTACCACCTCCCACAAGATTATTTTTCACTCAAACCTCAAATAAATGCCCTGCGTTTTTGGTAAAATAGCTTTATCCTCTGTCAGAACACAAACCAACAGACTTTGAGAGGGGAGGGAAGAAACAGTCTAGCTCACAGCTCACTTGTGGGGGAGATGAGATTAGAAAGCTTCAACCCACTACTTGTGCAGCTGAGATAAAGTCAAGACCCTAGCACCCACTTATAAATATCTCGTTATATTAAAAAAAAAATATTTCCAGGGCCCACCTGGCTCTGCTCCTGCACAGAAAGGGTTAATCTTCACTTTGTGATCTCAAAGGTCATAGAGTGAGGGTGGTAGAGAGAGGCAGAAATTTCAGGGGGAGGGGTGGCTGGGAAAAAGTAAAGGGGACAAGCCAATGTGTAACTACGGCCCTCCAAGACATGCAGAGGAGTGGGGGGGCCCTGCCAGGGGCTGAGAAGTCAGTGCTGTACCTGGAGGTTGTCTCACTCCTGTCCCCACAATCCCTGATACTCCGGAGTGATCTGTCCTTTCAGACACCCACTGTGAGGTCCCAATACTGGGGTTTATCCTTTCCTCAGTCCTAGCCTGTTCAGCACTCCAACCAAGTTTTGGGGCCCTTCTAATGGGGGGGATGGCCCCAGTTGCTTAGGCCTCTGAGGTCAACCCCTTTACATCACAGCCCTCTCCCCAAATAAGAAACATGAGGTGAGCTGGAGGACCCTCCCTGGGAGGAGGGTGTTCTGGGGGTGAGCCAGTTTTGGGGTCCCCCTTCAGTCCCTGACCAGGCGGTAAATGTGATGCTGGGCCCCACGCTCGCTGGTGGAGACCTCGAAGACATAGGCGGTGCAGAGCAGCAGTTCCTGGGTGTCTCTGTTTGTCACCACCTGCCAGGGAGGCCAGGACAAGGGACTTATGCTTAGAAGGGAGGGCAGGGACCCATATGCACCCCCGCCAAGTTATCATGGAATACCCAGCAGGCTCTTTTCTATCTCCAGGAAACAGGCAGCCACCGTATCATGTTCCCCAAGAGAAAGGCATGCCCAAAAGTCAGTTCCCTCAGCTGAGCGTTGGCAGTGATGGTGTATCACGTCTCAGGGTCAATCAGGTTCCCATCATATCACATTCCCCAGGTAAAAGGGATCCCCATCATGTCACAGGTAAAGAGAGAACCCTCCCTGCAGGTTCCGAAGTCAAGGGGTCTCTGCCTCACCAGTCCAAAGAGTTAAAGGGGCTCCCACCATGTCATGTTCCTTGAGAAGCTGAGGATCTGCCTTGAAGTGTCCTCCAGTCAGCTTCCCCAGGGAAGGAGGGCTTACGTGCGAGTGCTATGGGGCTGGGCGTGGTGGCTCACGCCTGTAATCCCAGCACTTTGGGAGGCCTAGGCGGGTGGATCACTTGAGGTCAGGAGTTCGAGACCAACCTGGCCAACATGGTGAAACCCCCGTCTCTACTAAAAATACAAAAATTAGCCAGGCATGGTGGGGCATGCCTGTAATCCCAGCTACTCAGGCGGCTGAGGCAGGAGAATCGCTTGAACCCGGGAGGCAGAGGTTGCAGTGAGCTGAGATCTTGCCACTGTACTCCAGCCTGGGCAACAGAGCAAGACTCCATCTCAAAAAAAAAAAAAAAGAGAGAGAGAGAGGGCTGTGACATCCCCACCACATCAGTTCCCTAGGTGAAGGGGTCCCCTAAACTAAAGGTCAATGGTGGGGTCCCCACTGCATCAGTTTCCTGGTTAAAAGAGCCTCAGGCTGAGGGCTCACTTCGGAGTCCCTGCTGTGTCAGTCCCTGGGTGAGGAGTTCCCCTAGACTGAAGGTCTGTTATAGGTACTGTCCCTCCACACTGGGGGCCCCTGGGGGCCCCCACTCCAGCCCAGCCCCAGGCATCACCTGGAGGATGGTGAAGTTTTCCAGGACGCTGTTCATCATGTATCGCTCAGGCAGCTGCCGCAACTTGTGCAAGAAATTCACCAGGTACTCGCACATGGGCGAGCGTAGCAGGCGGTACACAAATCTGCCATCCTCCAGCTGGGCCCGTTCCGTCTGAACCAAGGGGCAGGGAGTGGGGAGAATGGTGGCTGAGAGACACACGGGTCACCCCAGGAACTGAGCTCCACCCTGTGCCTCTAAGATGCCATCACACTCAGTCTCACTGCCACCTTCCTTTCATCACCCCACCCACAGTGACCGGAGATTGGGCCTGAACCCTCAGGGATCCAACTCAGGATCTCTGAGCCTGCAAATCACAAGCCCCTCAAAGTGATGCTCTGAACCCCCAAAGACCTCTGAACTCCTCTAGCCTCCCAGCCCTCAGATACCCTCCAAAGACGCCTCCATGACATTTCAAACTCTATCTAACCTCTAAACTTGAGACTTCCCCAGGTCTCCAGCAACCCCTAAGTGTGACTTCTGAACTTCTTGCCCTAGGAACCTCTCCATATCCTTAAGACCCTTCTCAATCTCAGTGACTCTAAATCTCTATACTACACATGACCTGTCAGCCCTCAGAATAATCCCTACCTGTGACTTCCGGACTCCACATTAGCTCCCAACGCATGCATTAAACCCTCAAAAGAGGCTGGGACCCACTCCCTCCACGCACACCCCAAATGCCTGAACCATCATGGCTTCTGGTCCATTCTGCACCCCCAAGTGCTGGGTGGCTGGGCGCTCACCCGCCCAGAGCTCCACCCCTCCAGCCTCACCTCCACCTTCTCCACCACCTGCTTGCCAAAGGAGCAGACCTTGGAGGAACAGGTGAGGGTCATGTGTTCCAGGCTCTCATACTGGCTGCTCACTCCATAGAAGCCACCACTGCTGATGCTGCCACCGGCTCCCGCCTCCTCGCCACTTGGGCCCCAGTTCAGGTCCGCCTGGGAGATGGGAAGGCACAGATGAGTCAGAGGGGACGTCCCTTATAAACAGTGGAGACTACCGGGCGCGGTGGCTCACGCCTGTAATCCCAGCGCTTTGGGAGGCTGAGGTGGGTGGATCACCTGAGGTCAGGAGTTCAAGACCAGCCTGACTAACATGGAGAAACCCCGTCTCTACTAAAAATACAAAATTAGCCGGGCGTGGTGGCGCATGCTTGTAATCCCAGCTACTGGGACACTGACGCAGGACGCAGGAGAATCACTTGAACCCGGGAGTCGGAGGTTGCGGTGAGCAGAGATCGGGCCATTGCATTCCAGCCTGGGCAACAAGAGCGAAACTTCATCTCAAAAAAAAAAAAAAAAAAAACCAAAAAATATCAAAAAAAAAAAAAAAAAAAAAAAAAAACCACAACGGGGACTCTGCCCCACAGCCTAGTTTTCCCATTACCCCTGCAATTCCCAGCTTGATTCCTCAGTGCTTTTTTTTTGGAGACAGGATCTTGCTCCGTCACCCAGGCTGTGATGGTACAACCACCCAGTGTGGTGGTACAATCACAGCTCACTGCAGCCTTGACCTCCTGAGCTCAAGTGATCCTCCCACCTCAGCCTCCTGAGTAGCCAGGACCACAGGTGCATGCCACCACACCCAGCTAACATTTTGTATTTTTTGTAGAAACAGGGTTTCACCATGTTGCCCAGGCTGGTCTCCAACTCCTGGGCTCAAGCGATCCTCCCACCCTGGCCTCCCAAAGTGCTGGGATTACAGGCGTGAGCCACCGCATCAGGCTTTCAAAGTTCTCCAAGGGCTGGTTTCTGGAGAAGATCCACCGCCCATCCGTGTTGAAGAAGTCTGGGTCCCCAAAACAGTCTTGGCCCTCTCTCCCCAGTAACCAAAGGAACCCTGGAATTCAAATTCAACCTTTTTTCTTTTCCTTTTTGTTTTTTGAGACAAAGTCTTGCTCTTGTTGCCCAGGCTGGAGTGCAATGCCACGATCTCGGCTCACTGCAACCTCTGCCTCCCGGATTCAAGCGAGTCTCCTGCCTCAGCCTCCCAAGTAGCTGGGATTACAGGCATACGCCACCATGTCTGGCTAATTTTTGTATTTTTAGTAGAGACGGGGTTTCATCATGTTGGCCAGGTTGGTCTCGAACTCCAGAACTCAGGTGATCCACCCGCCTCGGCCTCCCAAAGTGCTGGGATTACAGGCATGAGCCACCATGCCCGGCCAATTCAACCTTTTTCTCTTGAAGCCCGCAACTCAAGAGTTTAGCCTCTTCCAAGGGACTGGCTACTAAGGAGGCAGTTACTGCTTAGCAACCAGTTCAAGATGAACACCTCCCTCTAAGCCCCTCTACCCTGGTTGCTAAGGCAAGTTGCTACTCCCTAGCAATGGGACTTCACAGAGCCTGCGGAGGCCTGACTCCTCCTCAGAGCGCTTCCCCCTCGGCCGAATCTGAGAGGTCAGACTCCCTCCATAACCCCAGTGGCCAAGTGCGTAGACAGCTGGCCAAGTGTCACTAGGCCAAGTGGGGCCTAAGGAAGCCTAAGAGCTCATCACAGGTTTGGTCTGA